CACGGCTGAAGTCCTATGTTCCTCTAGGAATTAAAGGAAACAACAATAATAATAAACAAGAAGCCTTCATACATACAACTGCAATTCAAGGGCGAAATAATTACTAAGAAGTTAAGAAAATCAGTTCAAAGAACTTTTAATGTTGATAGATAACAAGTCTTATTTTCTGCAAGACCGATGGTGATTCCTCAAGTGAAAGACGATGTACATAAGCTAGCCACTTCTAATTATATCTAGCAGTTCAACTGCGCTTGTGGTGAAGCGAGTTATATTGACCATTTCATGCTCGGGAATATCTACCAGCATGGTTAAATGAATGTGTAGTGAGAAGCATCAGTAGCTTGATATTATAACACCTGGTGCAAATTTGCCACGACGCTAATATTCAAGAATCCTTCTCCATCATCTATCGGGTACCAAATAAATTGCCAAAAACATCTAGGTACCGCATACTGCAAACAGCACAGACTGTCGTGATTCTCCTGAAACAACTGGTGCTCTGTATGCATAAGAAACAAGTCGAACCACCACTATTACTACCCTGGCAGGCCTTCATTGGAGAATATAAATTCATGGATTTGTATCATTATTATTTTTCCTAGTTTTTCTGATATTTTTATGTTGATGCCGTCGAGCTGTAATCCACTGCTATTATTATTGTTGATTCGATGTTATTTAAACAATAATAATGTTGTGAATAACACCAATTCATTCATTCACTATTGTGTATGTATATATATACCTGTGGAACCTGATGGTAAAGATCAGGTTATCGAAAGGAATATTCTTCATTCAGTAAACATTTTTTTGAAAAATCTCTAAAGGGTATTTTTAATCAATTCAATATTATTCGGAAAGGGACATCCACGATGTCAATAACAATCACTCTTTAAGTATTATTTTTTACATTTAGCTGTAGTAGCCGGATGAGGGGGGAAGTTATCGAGAATATTCTTTGTTCAATAACCATTCTTTTGAAAAAGTTTTATTATCTCCAAGCTTATTTGCTTTTACGGTTAGATTTCGTCAGGAACTAGAATCGGTTGGAGAACCTATGAAAGTCAGAGAATATTCAACTACTGTCTCTTCACTGTTTGAAACTTTTCAACAGTACATTTCATCTAGGACCATCAGCTCATGAAGTTAGAATGCCATCGGCGAGCGATCAGATCAGTATTTAATTCTATGGTATCAAAGTTTCGGAAACTGAAAAAGTGATGGAATAAAGATGTTGTGAACGTCAGCTCTCTAACTGAGTGACGATATAGTGACGACCTCAGTTTTATCCTTTCCTCAATGAAAAGTATACATTGAAAAACAATCCGAAACGAAAGACATTCTTCTTATTCACACTGCTGAATACAGTTAGTAAATATCTCTCTTCTATTCTCTTCAGCGCCTGAGTCCTACAGTATGTTTGAACTCTTTTAAACAGTGTCCGAATACAACTGCCTTTGTGAATCATTGGATAATTGTTGATATCGCTGAGTATTTGATCTGTGTTTATTGATTCCTTGTATACTTGTGTTTCTGCATTTTCCGTGTTTGTTATCTGGATTACGACATCTTAAGAATGGAATCTCATCATCAGGTTCTTCTTCTCTTGTGAATTTAATATCTCCAAATATGTTGTAGATTAATTTGTGAGTGTATGCTAAATCACTACTTTTAATTATCACGAATGTGTTTCATCAACGCAACGTACTCAAGATCTTGATTTTATTATAGGTCAAGCTATTAATTCTAATCTTTGTATAACACCGCAATTCCATTAGTGATTTTTTATCTATCCGTGTATGTGATTAGTGAATTGGAAATATGTTTTGTGTCGGTGGTACAGCGGTTAGGACGCTCGCCGACCATGCACATGGTCCGGAGTTCGATCCCCGGCCACAGACGCACTCCACCTTTACCTCACTAAGCCAGAAATAAAGCTGGTAAAGAGGAAAAGTTGGGCATGAAGCTGGCTAGCAACCTCATCCTGTAAAAATAAACACCGCTGTCACCGAAACTTCAAGTCTCTAGCTTTAAGCCCTACGTTCCACTGGAAACGTGAAGGAATTAAGAAGAAGAAAAAGGATACTAATAATTCCATGAATTCCACCCAAGTTTAATATTTTTGTTTCTATATATTCACGGTTATAGAGTATTTTTTTATTGCGATGCCTACACAACAACCGCCATTTCAAAGTACTATTTCACTAAATTGTACTATGCCAAGGTTATCCTCCGCCTCCTCAGTTTCACTGGTGTGTGCTAATATGCAAATTTTCTTGAATATCTGAAATTCTTTTAAATACATTACACCTCAATCACATTTTTCACACCCGAAAGTTTGACATTCGTCTTAACACTGAAAGTACTAGGTTTGGCAGTCAAAATATTCACTTTAAAATTTTCTGCACTTTACGTAGTGAATGTGATTCTGTTGATACTTTGTGGGGGCGTACCGTTTAAAAAAATAGAAAACAAACACAACAGAAAATAGAAACTTTGATGGATAAGTTGACAACTGAATAAGCAATTAAAGTGTATGCACGTAGTCACTGATAGAGTGAACGATAATTCCGCTTGTTTCTCTGTCTACTACTACTACTACCAAAATTAGTGTTAAGGTGAATTGATGCCATTAGGACTGTATTTCATGGCTATTCCAACACATAAATTAGAATTTGAATACAATTATTATAACAGTGTTTGGTTAATGTAGATACTGTTATGCATGAGGCATATTCCGCCATCTTTGGGTCTTATCAGCTTCACACCCGAATCCAGTGAAATCAATCACCAGGAGATTGAGAAACAGTCATCTCAACAAATGGAAATGGATACCTGTTGCTCTGCTCAAAAGGGGGCGGCTGTCGTGACAAGATGCTCTGGTGCGGTTAGACTCTGGCGTTTGAAACCATGACTATCGGGTAGTATGGTGATTGATGTCCAGCCTGAGAGTAAGCAGATAAACACTGGATTATCCGTTCTCACGCCTGAATCATTGGCCATATTTATATTATTGTTCCCCTTATAAGTGCACTTCTTTTTCCATCTCACTTCGTGTCGTTTTTTGCTCAGGTAATGCACTGGGAAATCAAGTAGCTGTCGTATAGGTCGCTAGCGCAGACAAACAATACTCGTGATCACTGAGTTTGTAAAAGCTTCGGCGTCCCAAGTCAATTACAATATTTCCTAACATATTAAAAGTGGCAGTGGAGATGTTAGATCCTTCAAAGTTGGACAAATTTCTTGAACAAAAACTGAAAACTGTCGAGTTGCTTACACACTCAAACATTTTTAGTAGTTAATTATTCCAGACCTCTACGACTGTAATAGCCCCTGCTGACAATATTACATTTGATACTTGGTTCAGGAGATATGAGAACAATTTTAAGGTGAATCTTGCTTAGAAATATGGTTCCTGGAATGTGTACCTCTTACTTTGAAAACTGGTGTCATCAGAATTCGACCAATGCTGCTATATAAATTTACCTCAAAATTCACGTGACCGCATATCCGACGCCACACTACAGACTTTAATGCGGTACTTTTCAATGTTTGTTATCAGTCTCTTAAACTAACCATGTACGAAAACGATGATTTCCTCAGGCATGTTTGTTTTGTCAACCGTGAATATGAAAAACTTATACTGACGTCTTTAATGGCTGATCAATTTAAATCATTAATACCCATTTATGGTTTACATTCCCCTAAGTTTGCCGACAACAAAACAAGGCTGCTCAGTTTCTTAGAGCGAGAGCTGAATGACATCATCAACGACTGGTCAACCTTCAGACTGATACAATTTTAGGTCAATATGGATACTAGGGTAGTACTGAAATCAGTGTAATTCTAAAGACTTCGCAAATTTCTGCATCTTCCCATAGTCAAATAACCTCCCCCCAATTCTGCGTTGACCGTCCATTGTCACAGTTGCTGGCACAGATGAAAGATATTCGTGATTCCTACATTTGTTCTATCTCGGCGCTCCTATTCAGGTTAACGCCTTCCAAAATAATAAAGTCAGGTTCGACTCTCAGTGATTTTATTCTAACATATTTGAAAAGTCCAACAAAATGCTTACTACCATCAGGCCTTTGATTACGATGCAATAATAAAATATGTGGGCTATTCATTTGTATTAAAAAGGTACTGCTTATTCTAAAAAATGTAATGATAGGTTGATTCTTTGATCCTTGATGGTGCTTAATTCTAGAAGTATGCGATTAAGATACTAAGTCAGGAATACTGACACCACTTAAGAGTGCTTACTATGCTGATGCTGGTCGACCGAGGAAGAGGGCTCTCGAGTGGTTGCGCCACTGGATGATCCTGAATGCCGGTCTCGTCTTGCAAGAGGCAGGGCTGGTTGTGTTTGATTCTCCTGCGTCGGTGGCATAGCGGTTTGGAAGCTCGCCGACCATGCACATGATCCGGGATTCGATCCCCGGCCGACGTACTCCTTTACCTGGCTAAGCCAGAAACAATGCTGGTGAAGACGGAAGGTTGGGCATGAGGCTAGCAACCCCATCCTGTAAAAATAAACACTGCTACAGTGTTCAATCTACTATGTATAAGTGCTAAGCCATTCTTTATTTTGAAAATGGCTCCCACTGTGGTACTGATTATCACAGCCCCCGGAACATTTTCAAGGTACGCTTAGTGTACACACCCAGGTGTTGATGATTATCCTTTCTTTCTGTTTGTTTAATGAAGAAGCAAGCATGGTAACATGCCTCCTAATTTACAAATTGTAATATATATATATATATATGTATATAGTCACATGGTGTTTGTACTTTAGTAGGTAGCTAGCTAAGTAGCTCTTTGTCCTTTAGTATACCTTGTATTATCCAATCATAATATTTTATGATCTGTCGTCTACCACTGAATATGTGCAATCTTTAGCACATGTAGATTGCAGTGTGTGTGTGTGTGTGTACGTGTGTCTTTGAGTGAAGGTATGAGCGTGAGCAATTGTTTAAATATAGATCTCACCGACAATATATGTCATACTGCACACTATACAGATGGAAGATATTACACTGAGCAGTAATAATACTATCAATATCGATATTAATACTATCGTTACTAGTTATAACGGTAATCATACTAACAGTATTCATTGAACCATTTAATCAGGATAATAACACATTGTGATTGATTGATTGATTGATTGATTAGTAATGTTCAATGTTCCAATTGTTCAATTATCAACACTATTTATCACTCATTTACAAATAGTAGTTCCATATCAAATTTTCATAATGTTAATCATCCGTATACCATTCGCATTGATTATCCTCGTGGTGCTGATCATTGTTTATGCAGACAGTGAACCGATCCTGTTGGTTGATGAAGTGATACGTGGTGAAAGAGAATTAAAACAACTCAGATATGATGCCTATCGTACAGATCAACAATATCAATGTATTCCATTGCCTGAGGATATACACAAACTCACTGAACGATCGGAATTAATCATTGCTGGACGATTAAGATATCATGATTGGAATCAAAATTATGGTTCCGTTAGTAGTAGTAGTAGTAATAATAAAAATTACTTCAATCTAACTGTTATGATCACAACAATTTATAAGACAACCTATCCAATTCAACAGAGTCAAATAACCATTGGACCTGTATTTCTACCGGATGACAAACATCGAAGTGGTGCTGGCTGTCTGCCGGCATTCTTTGCCAATGCTAAGTATATATTCTTTTTACGCAAAAGCTTATACACACCGAATTATTATGAACCGTTGTGTGAAGCAGTTGAATACTCTGAATATGCTGAAAAGAAAATCTATACACATTATTGTCAAGATTGTGGTAAGTTTTGTAAATTCTCATTGCTCATTAGAGCAGTTTCAATGGTTTGATTACTGAACAGAGAATACTCTTTTCGATAACCTCTTCTTCTTCATCATCGGGTTCTACAGTTATATGCGTCCATAATAATGAAAGAATTAGGGTTATTGATAACAACTCGCTAGTGAGTTACTTGATGCAGGACGGAGTTTTCTGGACTTTTAGTGAGAAGTCGCAACCAGTGGGATGCAACCAGTCGGGAATGAGGATTGAGCTGGTGGTTGCGCTAAATCACGAATTGGCAGAAGTTAGAATTCATGAGCCCGTGAATCGGGTCCCACTGGCTGAATGGTATACGAGCTTTCCTTGTAACTGGAAGGTCCTGGGTTTGACTCCTGGCAGTGGGGTGGATGCGTACTGTGAATGATTCCCAAACTAGGACGGAGGAAACAACTGTCCAGTATTTCCTGGTGTGTTTTTAGTGGTTCTCTAAATGACATCAATAATAATAATAATTTGCTTTATTCCAAAACAGTACTTGTGATACAGAATGGAATTCTCAGCATTTTTACTACAGTATTGCATCCAGTTAGTACATTATTAATAAGTAGAATTCTACATAGATTAAGGAAATCTCAGTTCATTATGACAACAACACATTGGGATGTCGGTAGCAAAGCCAAAGTTGAACAGTGTTTGAAGGTGTTAGAAAAGTAGGTGCTGTCATACTTACTGGCGTAAGCGGAAGAAAGAAACAAAACAGCACATAACGGAAAAAAAGAGATGGAGAGAAAAGGAAAAGAAAGAAAGAAAACGTTGTACGTATAAATGATATTAGTTGGAAAGACGGGATCCAGTTGTTCTACTGACTATTTAATGAGTTATAGGTATCACACCTAATGCTTTCTTTATCGCACAGAACACGAGCTAAGTAGGGTATGGTTGAGTTTTTGTACTTGCTGGTGCGAGCATATAGTTTTCTATATAGGTCTCTAGTTCTGCCTGATGAAATACAAGGGAAGAGTTGTGAGTGAAGAGGGTGGTGTGAGTTCAACAGAATGGATTTGGCCCATTTTTCACATGAGTCCATGTGCCTGTCGACCAGAATATTAACAAGCTGGTTAAGTGGCACGTTGCTTACCCTACTGACAACCTTTAACATCCTGCGTAATATGTTATAGTCTTTCTTAAGTAACCCGGTAAAAACTAAAGGGGAACAATAGAGAATAATAGGCAGAATGCGAGAGTTAACGAATTGTAGGAGTAAGGGTTGGGTTATACCAGAATGTTTTAACTTCTTGATGTAGAAGGTAAGATGGAACATTTTCTTAGAAATCGCCAAGATATGACACAACTGGGAAAGATCAGCAGATAGAATGACGCCTAGGTATTTAATTTCCGACTTGGTTTCTGTTTCAGTGCCATCTATGTTGCATACCTCGTGAGAGCCAACCAGTTTGTCTAGGTCGGATTTATGTCTCAAGGTGAAGTTGACTGTTTGGCATTTGGAGGGGTTTAAGGTAAGACCATTTTCCTTGGACCACTGGCTGATTTCTGACAGAAAGCCGTTAAGTTTAGAGCAGTCACTTTGATATTCGACAGGCAAAGATCAATCCGTGGTCAAACTCGTAGAAAGAAAACCGAATCTAATCCTTACAAACCAACTCTTGAAAGTTATTGATTACATTAGTGCATTTTTTTTCTAAAGGTAACAGTGAATCATTGACGTCAGAATTCCACAGATTACTTGCAAGCTAAACAAACAAATTATGATCACACTTCTGTAGTTTACACACAATGAATGATAAGTTTTTGTTTTTTGGTAATATTTCGAGCAAAATTACTTTCCGTGATCACACCGACTATTATTATTGGGTGTAAACTATTGAAATATAATTTATTTGATCTACTCCACAATGCCTAAACTTTCTACTGACATTAATTACAGATAGAATAATAAAGATTATAGTCTAAAACACCTGCATGTGGTAGTGTAGGCATAAATGTAAAACCAAAGTGAACACCGATATTACAAAGTAAATGATTATGTGAATAACAAGGAGTATATATAGTAAGGGATCCTTACGAGTCATTATTATTATTGTTCCCTTGGGATCCTAGTGGAACATAGGGCTTCAACTGCACGTCTCCACTTGCTTCTGTCTTCGGCTGTACTTTTCACTTGCATCCATGTTAATCCATACTGTTTCAGTTCCTCATCACACGATCTCCTCCATGTCACCCTTGGGCGTCCCACTCGCCGCTTCCCTTTCGGGTTCCACTCGAGCTATGGCCTGACGCGCGATGTCATCCAACGGCCTCCTCAGCGAGTGTCCAATCCATCTCCACTTTCTCCTGCATATTTGTTGAGCGATTGGTTCTTGTTTTGTTTGTTCCCATAGCTTCTTGTTTAAGATTCTTTCTGGCCATCTAATCTTCAGTATAGAACGAAGACAGTTGTTGATAAAGGTGTGCAACAAGCTGTTGGAAATATTCTTTGTGACCCGCCAAGTTTCTGATCCGTATAGAAGAACTGACTGACTTGACGTTTGTATTGAAAATCCGAATTTTGTTGTTGGTGCAGGCGGAGTGACGAAGATTTCCAGATTGGTTTCAGGTTGATGAATGTGTTTCTCACCTTCCCGATTCTCGATTTGACATCTTCGTCCGTTCCTCCTGTAGTTGGGACAATGCTCCCTAGATAAGTGAATGAAGTAACCTCTTTCAAATCCCCCCCGTTGATGGTGATTGGCGCTGGATGTTGCTGTTGTTGTTGTTGTTGGTTGGTTGGTTATTTTCATAACCTCCGTCTTGTCTATGTTCACCTGGAGTACTGTCTTTGCTGCTTCTTCGACCAGTTTGTCGGTTTTCGCTTGTAAGTCTTCGATTTTGTTTGACATCAAACATAAATCATCCACGCGCGAAATCCAGGTCCTCTAGGTTCTTCACGTCGGTCCAGGATATCCCTGTCTTCTCGTTTCCCACTGTCTGACGCATAATCCAGTCCATATTAAATTCTATTCATATTGATTATAAACTTCAAGTGGATGAATGATAATCTCAAAGACGAGGGGGGGGCAGGAAATTGAGGTTAATGGTGTCTGTGTGTGTGTTAGTGCGTAAGTTTTCATGCCCGGAAACAAATACCAGTGTAGCTAAACAAAAGTACTGTGAAAGCTATCAACATTTCGACATTACACCACCTGATCCAAACCATTCACAAAGAATTCTTCCCTGTATCATCTCTCTGGAAGCAAATAAATCGTCGAGTGGATCCAGATATCGAATACTCCAAATACCAGAGGTTATACAGGTGCTCTGTGTACAGAAGAAACAGGTCCAACTATTATTGCTGCTCTGGACTGCTGTAGACTCTGCAAATTTACAATTACCTTATCACGTCAGCCCTTTATCCGGTAAATATAAATTCTCTTACCCCTTATTTATATGCACTTGTATAAACCAACCTATTGTTTTCTTATGTAAACGTAGTCATTAAGTTACACACTGTCACACACATCCAAAATGGTCATAACCTTCTGCCAGTATTGTCAATAACAATCATTCTCTCATTATTATGGATACATAACTGTAGAAACTGAAGGAGAAGTTGTCGATAGCAAATAAGAATATTGTTTGTTCAGTAATCAATCTTTGAAAAATTCTTTGTTTTTTGTTTTTTTCTCATTGTCAATTTTAAGGTTTCCCCATTGAACTGTATAGTCTGGAGGAATTTGATTCCAGTTTGGGTTTTAAAGTGGTAGCCTTGGTCACAAACACTGAAAACGACTGTTTAATTTTTAACATCAAACTGACCAACACAAGCAGTTAATGTTGACACTCACTGATTTCTCGTATCGCTCACAGCAGTATGTGTCACATAGGCATTGTATTTTCCTGCGTCACATGAAAGGAATTTTTAAATGCTGAGTAGACAGACGCTTTCAGGAATATGAAAACGGCGCAAAGTATTTTAGACAGCTAACTGTATTTTCAAGTATTGGTTTGTAGGGATTTGATAGATTGGTTACAGGATTTCATCGTGAGCTAACATCGGTTAGAGAACCATTGCAAAACCAGCACTGGAGTACTGGTCAGCTGCTTCGACCTAGTTTGCGGCTCTTCATCGCTACGCACCCATTGGGGGTTCTAACCCAGGACCTTCTGGTTACAAGGTGAGCGCGTAGACCATTGAGCCACTGCTACTCGACCCAACGACAAGCCCATGAATTCTAACTTCTGCCAAGTAACGACATCCGGTACTCCCAGTGGATCAATGGTCTACGAGCTCATATTGTAACCAGGAGGCCCTGGGTTCCAACCCTGGCGGATGCGTACTGATGAAGAGTCCCAAACTAGGCTGACGAAACAGCTGTCCACTACTCCAGTGCTGGCTTTCCAATGGTCCTCTAACCAATTTCAGCTCATTATGAAATCCTGTAACCAATCAATCAAATCCCTACAAACCAATACTTGAGTATCTTCTGTATATATGGAAATAAGCACACGTTTTAGAAGTGAAACCGCCAACGCAAGTTTACGCATACAATTAATAAATGTGATATGAATGAGCTTCTTAGAATTTGAAAAATTAATTAATACCTTAAAATCATAGATCTATAAAAGTTATTATTAGTCACCTGAATTGTCATCAGTTTACGTCTAGTATATACGTGTATATACCACATGCATTTTTCAGATGACATATTTTTAGAGAGATCAATAAAACTAGACAGTTGTTAAAGTCATTTGAAAGGTGTTGAGCTAAAAGTCACTTTCCATATATGTATTTTTCTTTTTTAACTCTGACTTTTGAGAGATTTTAGGATCATATCTTCAAAGCTATATGGGCCATTTTATACTCTAGTGGGTGTACCTTAGAGATTAGTGACAATCGACACCGAGTTTTTCTTAGGATTAAGGAAGAAGGCAGCTAGTAAACTACGGGTGTCTTAAATACAACGAATTCTTCGACTGCTACTGACACGTTCACTCAATAGTAACGATACCTGATATCTGTT